ACCCCATGTGCTGAGTCTTCTGGGAAGCAGGCAAAGCAAATGTGAGGACATGCTAGTGCCACAGGGACCCTTCACTAAGACCGGCAGCCATCCCTTCCCCAACCCTCTCGTCCCTCTCTTTCGGAGATGGAGCCTGGCCAGAACCCAGCTGTGCTGCTGCAAGGTGCATTCTCTCTCCCTCTCTCTCTCTCTTTCCAGCACACCAGATGCCCTACATTCCAGGGAGGGAGTTATCTGAGTCTCCAGCTGCCCCAGAGTGGCGAGCAGCATTCCACACACTCCAAGCATACAAGGGAGAAGGGCAGGAGCTGGGGACTGGCAGAAGGAGCTCCGTGGGCAGCACAGCTGGGAAAGTAGCTGGGTAGGAAGGTAACCTGCATGGGCCCAGCCCGAGGCACTAGAAAACCAACCTTCCCCAAATAATCACAGAGGCTTCCAGACGAGCCCCACCTCTTCAACTCTTCCTTCCAGAGCACTGCTGCTCCCTCTCCACTTGCTCTGGCTCTTTTTCCTCCCACTCCAAGTGTCCTACTGCCATCTTCTTCCCATCTCTTTGTCTCTTTCTTCCCTCTCGGGCCCACCTTTGGCTTTTCTAGGCTTTGATAAAGAGTTTCTTTAGGCTCACTACCGGCGGCCTCTGGCTGAAATCTGGTCTCCTCTTCCTGCCTCTGCTTACCTCCGTGGACTCCTAGACATGCTCCCTGAGCCTGTGGGCAGGCATCTCAGCAGAGCTGTGGGATCTGGGGCTCAGAGACCCCCAACTGTCTGTGCCTAGAATCACGTTTCAATAGAATGATGTCTTTTGAATCTTATTGATACAGAACTTTGTTCCTTGGTTTAGCTAAAACCAGGTCCTTGTCACACGACCAGGAAAAGCTAGGATCACAGACACACTGAAGTGTGAGGGGAACGGAATTAATTAATTAATTAATTTATTTATTTATTTATTTATTTTTAAAGATGGTGTTTCACCATGATGGCCAGGCTGGTCTTGAACTCCTGACCTCAGGTGACCCACCCACCTCGACCTCCCAAAGTGCTAGGATTACAGGTGTGAGCCACAGCGCCCGGCCGGGAACAGAATTTATTGGGTGAAAAAGGAAAAGAAGAAAAAAAAACCTCTCAGCAAAGTAAGAGGAGTTCCTGCCAACAGCCCCACCCACAGATTGATTCCAGGCCATACACAAAACTGAAGAGGCCAGGCTCCTCCCCCACTGCACAGGACGTGAACTTGCCATGGCTCCACCTCCTTCTCCCAAGTACACAGCCAGGTCGGAGATTCTCCGGGCACCCTCCCGCTTATCAATGCCCTGCATCTAACAATATGGCGAAACCCTGTCTCCACAAAAATTATGAAAGTTAGCTGGGCTTCCTGATGCATGGATGTAGTCCCAGCTACTTGGAAGGCTGAAGTTGGAGAACCACCTGAGCCTGGGAGGTCGAGGCTGCAGTGAGCTGTGATTGCACCACTGCACTCCAGCCTGGGTGACAGAGTAAGATCGTGTCTCAAAAATCAATTTAAAAATAAAATCTTGCATGCAGCCTACAATGTACCATTCTGACTAGTGGGCAGTATAGCCTCTGGCAGAGCCCAGAGAAGGAACTTTGAGGGAGGGAGAGGGATAAGACAGGAATTCAAGCTGACTGGGTTGGCCAAGTATACATATTTAACACGTTACAGAAAGAGCTATGAATATTCACGAAGTGGTCCTGAAGCAAGTATACTGAATAAACAAGTATGTAGCATATGACCCATGTGCACCTTAGGGTGGAGACTTAGCATTTAAATATATTACAATTGGGTCTTATACATCAAAAGGTCTTCTCAGGACACAACAGAACTCAAGTATGCAGCATCTGTAAACCAGCCAGAACCAGTCCATGGCCGGTAGTCTTCTTATCAGGAGAAGGTTACTGAAATCAGTCTCGTGTTCAGTCCAAGCTGTAGTTTTTGGCTGATGGATGATCTGCAAATTGTTTTAATCTTGCTTATCTCAAGGCCAGTGTTTGTTTGGCTGCTAGAGAAAAATTAAAACCTTGTGGCAGAACAGAGTTTTTTCTTTAAATGCAGGGGTGTGTGACTTAACCCTGACCTGCCACAGCCTTAGATCTTGTTTATAGTTTGGTATTTTATTGGCTCAAAAACTTTGTTTCATCAGTCTTATAATCTTTGGTTTATTAATCCTGGTCAGTGGTTGTCTAAGCCACAAAGGGTAGGTATGATGAGGCGTGTCTAACCTTCCGTCCCCTCCTGGCTGGGAATTCAGTGTTTAAGGTTTCTCTGGGTCCCCTTGGCCAAGAGGGGGTCCATTCAGTCAATTGGGAGGCTTGGGATTTTATTTTTAGCTTACAAAATTATTTCACCATAGTCTCTCATAAGGAGTCTGTGTTCTTCTCTGAAAGAAAGCTGACACCCCCTGCTGGTGGAGGTTAAGGGTGGCAAGGGCACACAGGAACCAGACATCAGGAGGGCTGTGGGCAGAGGCCGGGAGCAGCCTGATTAAGGTGGAAAAGCCCAGGGTTGTTATTGGTAATGAACTGAGGTGGAAAGGGAGAAAGGCAGTTGTTTTGTGAATTCACTGGAGACAATGAGTAGGAGAGAGAAAGCAGATGTCAGGGAGTGGGAACCAGGGAGCTGAGTGGGTCCATCCTAAAAGTGGCAGCTCTGGGGTGTTCCTAACCTTTTAGTGCTGCAGGCCTTGGAAAAAACTTTGTGCTGCACCCACGTGCGTGTCCCTAGGGTTGCCATTCAGATGGCTCGCCTGCAAGCCCTGACACTGTTGAGGACTTACCCTGGCCACAGAAGCACCATCCACGGGAAGGGCAGGCTAGAAATGTTCATGCCCTGGGAGCAGCCCTCGAGTAGGACAGGATTTGGTGGAGAAATAGCCCAGCTTCCTCAAGGGTAGGCTGACTCGGAGGCATGCTCTACAAAGTAGCCTCTTGAAGGTCCCAGTGGGATGGAGCTCAGGAGTTCATTGAGTTCATCGCTCACTGATGCACCCGGTGCTGGCTTCTGCCCTTTCCTGTCTACTTGACTCTGTCAGTGATGCCAGGGATCTCCTCTTTAATAGCCTCCTTGCTTCAAATCTTTGTCTCCAAACCTGCTTCTGAAGGAAACTAACCTAAAACAGACCCCTTTGGCAATTGGTGAAAGCTGCTGAACTTCTCAGAATAATGGTGGGGTTTTGTTTGTTTGTTTTGTTTTGTTTTGAGACAAGGTTTTGCTGTGTTGCCCAGGGTGGAGTGCATTGTTATGATCATAGCTCACTGCAGCCTCCACCTCCTGGGTTCAAGAGATCCTGCTGCCTCAGCTTCCTGAATAGCTGGTGCAGGTCACCACGCCCGGCAGAATCGTGGGTTAAATGTATAAAATAAAATAGGTGATGATAGACACAGGAGGCAGATAAAGGGGAGGGTCCCTGGAGAATCTCCCACGTGGAGCCACCAGAAGTTCTTATGCAGCGGTAGGGGAGGAGCCTGGCCTCTTCCGTTCCTGTGTGTGGCCTGGAATCAATCTGTGGGGTGGGGGCTTGTTGGCAGGCAGGAACCCCCCTTGCTTTGCTGAGAGGTTTTTTTTTTCTTCTTCTTTTCTTTTTTCACCCAATTAAGTCAATTCCCCTCACCCTTCAATGGGTCTGCCTGCCTAACTTTTCCTGATCATGTGACAAAAACCGGGCTTTAGCTGAACTGAGGAGCACAGTTCTGCATCAGTATTGCCAGGCTGGTCTCCAGCTCCCGAGCTCAAGCGATGCACCCACCTCGACCTCTCGAAGTGCTGGGACTGAAGCTGTGAGCCACAGTGCCCAGCCAGCTATAACTCTTTAAAAGAAATAAAGCTCTCCTTTACAAAGTTTCGATTTTTCTTTTCTTTTCCTTCTTTTTTTTTCCTTTTTTTAAAGAGACAGGGTCTCACTCTGTGGCCCGGGCTGAGGTGAATAGCTCCCTGCAGCCTCAGGCTACTGGGATCTACCTCACCCTCCTAAGTGGCTAGGACTACGGGCATGTGCCAGCACACCTAGCTAATTTTTATTTTATTTTATTTATCTTTGTAAATAAAGGCTCTCACTCTGTTGCCCAGGCTGGTCTTGAACTCTTAGCCTCAAGCAGTCCTCCCACCTCCACCTACCAAAGTGCAGGGATTACAGGCAAGAGCCACCATCTGCCCAGCTTAAAGTTGTGATTTTTAAGTTAACATTGTGAAATTAATTTGTGCTTTCTGTTTTTTCCTCACCCAACGCTGCCTCCCTCCCACCCTTCGCACCACCCTGCACTTCTAGGCCAGGAGAAAGGATTTTGTGCTCCTTCACCTCAGAAACCTGAACTCAGAATTTCCTTTCAGACAAGTTACAGGCTTTTGTTTGCTGGAGACTGGAGTTCCCTGAGAGGATTAAGGGTGTGGTAAGGGAGTGTCTAAAGGAGCCCAATGCCTTGAGGGCAGCCAAGAAGACAGAGTCCGTGGACTGGATGGCAGCAGCTGAGGTAGGTGGATCCGTCTGGGGCGGAGATCTCCCCAGCTCCACAGCCCCAGGCATGTCAAGGGCTGTCAAGGCCTCAGAGAAGACCAGCTGCCTGGGACACCTCAGGAAGCCGTACCCTGACACTTGCACTCCCAAGTCCACAAATATCTCTGTACCCAAACCAGTGGGCAAGCAAAAGAGCCCTTGCTTTCAGGAGACCTCAGGATGTTGACAATAAGGACATCACGGACAGGCGCAGTGGGTCACTCCTGTAATCCCGGCACTTTCGGAGGCTGAGGCACGTGGATCACTTGAGATCAGGAGTTCAAGACCAGCCTGACCAACATGGTAAAACCATCTCTACTAAAATACAAAAATTAGCTAAGTATGGTGGCAGGCGCCTGCAAGCCCAGCTACTCAAGCGGCTGAGGCAAGAGGATCACTTGAACCTGGGAGGCAGAGGTTGCAGTGAGCCAAGATCACGCCACTGTCCTCCAGACTGGGTAATATGAGAGAAATTCCATCACAAAAAAACACATCATGGACTCCAAAGGGCCGGAAGTGGAGAGTCCTGAAGCCATCTTGGACCATGAGGCCACCCCAAGGGTAGAAGGAAGCACACTAAGATGATGGGGACAGGAGCCTCCACACCTGTCCTGGACGTTTCATCTCAGACCTTGTGGACAAAGCAGAGAAATAAATATCTACTTCGTTTAAGCCACTTTATTTTCAATTTTTTGTTTCAGGCAGGCCTTCCATGAAGGTCCCAGTCTGACAGCATAATGGGTGGGCTGGAATTTATGGACAGTTTCTGTGTATGTGTTCTACAAAACCATCCATAAGAAAAGTTGAACAAGTCTTGGGACTAGCTAGAGAAGTGGGGGGAAAAAAAAGAGGAAGTAGACTTTCCACTGCCCCTGCCATGCCTAGAAGGTTCCCCAGCATAAGAAGGGATAATTTGTGTCTCACACATCACAGTCGGCAGCCTCCTGGGCGGCAGGGGAAACTGGCAAAGACCAGATTGTGCCAGAGGCCTTTTCTTGTCCTTTGAATATTTCAACTTCCATTCAGGAAGGCTTGGGCTTTCCAGGGACAAAATCATTTTTATCATTTTATTTGTCTTATTAAATATTAAATAAATGTATCTGTAAAAGATACAGAAATGAATAACAATGATACAGAGGATGACAAAGTGACCTTTTAAATTTGAGACTAATTCCATCTAAAACAATCCAATCCACCTGTAGTTGTTGGTTTGATTGCAATAACCAATCCTGGACCACAGTTACCCAACCTACCAACCCCAGAAGAAATCTTTCATAACCGTGATGCTCATGAAGGAAATCTAAACATGGCCAACCTATGTCATGAAAAATGCAATCTAATTAATGAGAAGACTGAGGATGCTCTGAAGGAAATGCAGGAAGGAGAATTAGCCTAAGTGCCTCCATGTTGAACTTCTACATAAATCTTTCCTTGGTTGGCAAGTGTCCAGAATATGACATCACAGCGTGTGAAGGAGGCTGAGGAGAAACAGACTGTCCCCTGCATTGCTGGCAACAGTGCAGATGGCACAATTCTGTGGAGCAGACCTGCAGTCTCTACCAGAACTATACATACACAAACTCTTTGACCCAGATCCCCCTTCTGGGAATCCATCTTCTAGATTCACCTACACAAAGGTAAAGTTACTTAGGTATAAGGTTATTCATTGTGCTATTATTTATAATAACAACGAATCAGAAACAGCTCAATAACCCAGCAATAGGAGACTGGTGGAACATACAGCTCTGGTAGATCCACCAGTGGAATACTATATAGCTGTCAAAATGAAAAAGATATAAGGAAGAGTTTTACATGGTAATAGGGAAGGATACCCAGAATATGTATTTAAAAGTTTATTTATTTTTATTTTTTTTTTTTGAGACGGAGTTTCGCTCTTGTTACCCAGGCTGGAGTGCAATGGCGCGATCTCGGCTCACCACAACCTCCGCCTCCTGGGTTCGGGCAATTCTCCTGCCTCAGCCTCCTGAGTAGCTGGGATTACAGGCACGTGCCACCATGCCCAGCTAATTTTTTGTATTTTTAGTAGAGATGGGGTTTCACCATGTTGACCAGGATGGTCTCGATCTCTTGACCTCGTGATCCACCCACCTCGGCCTCCCAAAGTGCTGGGATTACAGGCTTGAGCCACCGCGCCCGGCTGTATTTAAAAGTTTAAAAGGACGGAGCAAGATGTAGATAGTGTGCTTTTTTGTGTAGTAAAAGAGGAAATAAAAGTGTTTTATTTATGTTTGCATAAAGAAACATTGAAAGAATAAAAAAGGCACTTATTATGGTAAAAATGGTTACTTACAGGGGCAGTGTGAGGGGAAAGAGAGAGGGCAGGGATGGGGTGGGAGTGATATTTCTTATGTACTTGTTGATGTCATTTTTATTTGAACCACATAAATGAAATATTATTTTAAAAATGAGGCCCAGGTGTGGTGGGTCACACTTAGTAATCCCAGCACTTTAGGAGGCCAAGGTGGGAGGGCTGGAGCTCAGATGTTCAAGACAAGCCTGGCCACATAGCAAGACTCTGTCTCTACTTTAAAATTTTTACAAATTAGCCAAGCCTGGTGGCAGATACCTGTAGTCCCAGCCATTCATGAGGCTGAGGTGGGAGGTGTAAGGGTTATTGCTGAGTTTAAAATGAGGAAACTCAGGCCAGCATAAGAAGATTAAATGCCAATTTATTAAGCTCCCGGGCAAGGTTCTGTAGTCCAGGAAAGGGGCCAGAGAAGTCTCGCCTGACTTCCTGAAGCGTGGGGTTTTAATAGCGATTGAGGGTGTCTTGATTGGTCATGAGGGAACAGGATGTGGACGGGGCAAGCTGCTATTGGTAGGTAGGCGGGATTTCCAGTGAGCGGACTGCCCAGGGGGAGCGGGACATGGACGGGGCAAACTGCTATTGGGCAGGTTTTGGCGGGGCTTCTTTTAAATTTTGGCGGGGTTTTCCAAAGGCGGGCTAGGTACTGAGTGCAGAGCCTAGTGTTTAGTGCAGAAGTGGGTGTGGGGGAGCTACGTGGCGGAGCTAAGTGCTGAGCGTAGGGTTTGGTGTCCAGCGCTGAGTGGTGACGTAGTTTTCAGGCACAGAGAGGGATGGGCATGTCTGAGCTCCTGGGGAGGCAACCGGCCTTACAGGAGGATTGCCTGAGCCCAGGAGTTTAAGGCTTCAGTGAGCATAATCATGCCACTGCACTTCAGCCTGGGTGACAGAGCAAAACGCTGTCTCAAAAACCACATATAGAATTTTAAAAATCCATATCAAAGAAATACAGAGCAAGTCCTTCCTCTGTTCACATGCCCTACTTTTCATTAAAAAAAATTTCCAAACTTGAAGACATTTCAGGGAATCCTTGCCAAGAAAAGTGCTGATAAATTGATAGGCAGAGGAGCCTACAATGCAAAAAAAAAAAAAAAAAATGAGAAAGCTATAAAATGTTCCCAGTAGCTTGAGAAGCATGTTCTCTTTGCCATTTGGGGCTATAATATGCATGAAATATCACATTCCTTACTTTTATTCAATCAAATGTAATCTGCTCTGCATCCCAGCCTAGATGACTGGGAGGAAATTCAACCCTAGTCATTAATGGAGCTGTCTCCTCCCTCAAACACATTACAAAATACCAAGGGCTTATGCAGTACCAGAAAAGCTGGGGACAAGGCCAGGTCCTTACTACCCATGACAGATATCTTAGTTGGCTCTGGCTGCTGTGACAGAACACCAGAGACCAGGTGACTTAAATGACACGTATGTATTTTTTTTTTGAGACAGGGTCTCACTGGATTGCCCAGGCTGGAGAGCAGTGTTGCAGTCTCACCTCACTGCATCCTTGACCTTCCAGGCTCAGGTGATCCTCCTACCTCAGCCTCCTGGTGTCCGCTGAGGGCTCTCTTCCTGGTTCTCAGACCGCAGCCTTCTCACTACCTATGGCCGGGATAGAGAGCTCTGGTCTCTACCTCTTTTTTGTTTTTTTTTAGATGACTTGTTGCCCAGGCTGGAGTGCAATGGTGCAATGGTGTGATCTGTGCTCACTACAACAACCTCTGCCTCCCAGGTTCAAGCGATTCTCCTGCCTCAGCCTCCCAAGTAGCTGGGATTACAGGCGCCTGCCACCACACCCTGCTAATTCTTCTATTTTTAGTAAAGATGGGGTTTCACCATGTTGCCCAGGCTGTTCTAGAACTCCTGACCTCAGGTGATCCACCTGCCTCGGCCTCCCAAAGTTCCGGGATTACAGGCATGAGCCACTGTGCCTGGCCTCTACCTCTTCTTATAAGGGCACTGAACACACCCTTATGACCTCAGCTAAACCTAATTACCTCCAAAGACTCCACCTCCAAATATCATCACACTGGGGGTTGGGTTTTCAACATATTAATTATTGGGGGACAGAAACATTTAGTCCATAGAAGCAGCTATTGTTTCTGTAGCTCCCTCTACTTTCAGGGCTACGGTCAAGTCCTGAAGTGATGTCCTCTGGGTCAGGCCCAGCACTTCCCCTCACATCAGCGACGTCCACATCACCCATAGTAGAATCTCTTTGGGGACCCTGACCTCTGTGCCCCTAGCTGGGAGAAAGTATGGCTTCTCTGGGCATTCTCCAGCAATCCTTCAGCCTGTGAATGCTCTGGGCAGAAGTGGGGGCCTGAGTCTCCACCACTTATGGGGAGAAAGCACCAAATTTCCAGACCCTAGAGAATCTCAACCTCTGCTTAGGACACACCCACAGCCCACTTCTGCCTCTCTTAGGTGTTTGCACATAATCCAAATGCCATCACCACCCACCTTCTCCACACTCAAGAAAGAAGCTCAGAATTGGGAACAAAAAGCCCAGTAACTTTCTTGATGAGGGGAGTATACACAGAGCAACAAGAACAAAACAAACAGTAATTCCGCAGTAAATTACCCTGACACAGCCTGGCATGGAGCTCAGATGAATTCTAATGAAATGAAGAGCTGGCTAATATAATAGCCACACCCGGCAAAGTGAGTTGAAGGAGATGAGCCTTACAGAGCCAAGAAGCTACTCACCCTGGGCATGAAGGCTCTGGTCCAAGTACAGATACAGCTATTTCAGTTACCTGTCACTGGGCAGCCACCATCCCAAACCTAGTGGCTTCAAACAACAACCACTTCCTTACACGAGGAATTGTGTCATCAGTTCAGCAATTCTACTCTGCTTGATGTTAACTGGAGTCACTCGATGACATCTTAGGCAGGTGGCTGGTCTAGAGTGTTCCAGACAGCTTCCTTCACATTTGTGTCACCTTTGTGGGGACAGCTGGGCTCTGCTAGTGGCTGGCCAGAGTGCTGTACATGGCCACTCCAGCAGACAGCAGCAGGGAATTTGAACTTCTTCTTTTGGGAGGATTGAGGGGACAGGGTCTCGCTCTGTTGCCTAGGCTGGTGTGCAGTGGCATGATCATAGCTCACTGCAACCCTAAAGGGCTCAAGTGATCCTCCTGCTTTTTAATCTATCTTTTTAGTCTGCCTTTTGAGTTGCTGGGACTAGAGGCATGAGCCACCATTCCCGGCTAATCTTTTCTTTTATGTAGTT